ATATTACAGTCAGTAGGTTAAAGTTCAACTCAAAACACCGTCAAATTTTTAACCAAAAAAGGACGAGTTTGGAACATAATGAATAGTCGGGTAACTATTTTATAACTTTTAATAGTCAATTCGACTATAGAATGTTGCTTTATTAAGTCCCTCAACTATTACAAATTATAAAATAGTCACCCGACTATTCATTATGTTCCAAAAGTCATATTTTGGTAAACTTTTAATAGTTGGATGACCATTTTTTAATAGTCGATGGATTTAATAAAATAGTACACTCTAATCGAGGCACCATTGTGTACTTTACCCTATTATTATTTGGTTCGTGCGGAGGTAATGTGGATTTACAAATGCAATCGGCATGCCTAATCATTATCAATGCATAGTGAACCCAATCATTTTCTTCTTTTTTGTGCAATGAATTCAATCATATTGGTTTTACACTTTCATTTCACCAAACCAAAACTGCAATAGAAAATGTCCAGATAATATTTTAACTTAAATTAAGATATATTTATATTATTAACACCATAATATATAATAATGATTAATTTTAATTACCTTGCACGAATATATTAATCACAAATATAATTATAATCGTACTTGTAATGAAATAAAATTAATTTCAAGATAGGGTTTGACAAAAGTGGGATAATCATCGCAGACGCCATTGGAAAACTAGCAAATCTTGACTGGAGAGAAACAACATAAGCAAGGCAGGCGTGAAGATTAAAGGTGAAATTACAGGCCCATGTTATTATTTCAAGTGGCAAACTTTGTTTTTTAGGTCAAATTCCACTACGAGTCCTTGTACAATACGTAAATTATAGAGGATGTAGTTTTTATATTCTAATTTGGTCATTTTTAAGCTTTTATATTTTATAAATTTAATCTAATCCGACCGATGATTTTTATGTCTTTCGAATTAAATTAGTATTACTTCATGTACTATGCATAAATTATAGTTTAAGTATAGTACAAGGACTAATGAGAAATTAGCCAACCTTTTATCGGCATATTTAATCAATGAGCTGGGATTGAAGAATAACCTTTTATAATTAAGTTTTGTTTATAAATAAAAAATCAATTATAATTATAAATTTATCATTTATTTTTAAGATATAAAATTAATTAATTTTATAAAAAATATATATATAAACAATGAATCTAAACGGATGAATGAGATTGAGAAAAAAAGTGTTAATATACAAAATTTTAATCTCAGTTGTCAATTTAGATTCGATCAAATGACTATATTTGTATAACATATTTTATTAACCATAATTAGGAATGACAATTTAGCTTGAAATTGTTGAATTTTGACCCGACACGATGTGATAGGGATAATAATATATTTTCTTTAAAATTTATTATTTTTAACTAAGTTCTTATTTTATATCGGATCCGATTTATAGCCTAAAAATTCAAGTCGAGTCAGAGTCTGTAGATGATATATACTTTCGGATCGGGTCAAGTCACGTGACGATATATAATTTCCTGATCGAATCAAACTCAAGTGGATAATACATAATTTTTTAAGTCAAATCAAAGCAACCAAAAACACCGCCACAACTCGTGATCATAATACATTATAATACTTTTTAAAGTATTAAAAGTGCAAATGAAACTATTATTATTATAATAAATGGAGTAGTATATTAATTAGCTTATATAATGCCTAAATCCATTAAATAAATCATTTGATCGACCACCATAACCTTTTTTTACTTGTAGTAAATGGAAAAGGAAAATTAATGATTGTGGTAAATATATGCAATGAGGACTTAATCATTGCATTAGAGTTGGTGGGTAGTAGAATGCATGCCCATTATCATCATGATTAAGCCCGATAGCACATACCATTAGTTTTTTTTTTTAAAACATAATGCTTAGGCAAAAAGAAATGAATAATTAATCAATTAAGAGCATGCTTATTAATTAATTACCACTCTTAATTCACATTCTTACTTACTGTAAAACCCATTTATTTGGATGCCCACATGATAAAAGACAAAAGTCCTATAATATAGTTGATTTAAATAGTAAACAGTTTGATATCATTGAATATATTAAATCCGAGTTTTTATATATACATAAAGACTCGCCTATCAATGTCAAGTGAACGTCCCGAATCGATTGAGTTGATTAAAGAAAAAAAGACAAAGGTCCTCCGATTTCGCTGGACATGTGAGCTTACGACACGTGGATATAAATGGAACATTTGAAAGGGCAAAACCTCATATTTCGGTGGCCATCGTTGTCTAACTTTTTGACTTTATGGACAAAGTTTGTAGCTAAATTACAAGTGTTTTTTCATTATGTCCACACCATTTTGAGGAAAATATTTGCCGTGAAGACACCTATTTTTCTCGGTAAATAATTTAAGGGTAAAGTACAGAAATGGTCCACTGACTATAAGATACTACTTTATTAAGTCCCTTGACTATTAAAATTACAAAAGTGTCACCCGGCTATTAATTATGTCTCGAACTCGTCATTTTCCATTAAAACGGACGATATTCTAAGGTGAACATTAACTTGTTGGTTGTGATATGATGAAATTTGATCTCAGAATTTCAAATAACTATTGTATCTTAGTTTTGTAACTTTTAATAGTCAATAGACTTAACAAAGTAATATTGTATAGTCGGAGGATTGTTTTGTAACTTTAACAGTCGAGAGACTCAATAAAACAATATCCTATAATCGAGGACCATTTGTGTACTTTACCTAAAATTTAAGACTCAAATTGTTTGTAAGAGTATTACTTATTTGATTTTAATTTTTTTACATATCTTATAGTCTTAAATTCTATTCATATTTAAATACTTGTCAAACATAAATATACAAATAGAAAGTTTTCAATAAGAAACAATAATATGTAACAAACTTCCTTAGCCCTCTATTTGGGTAAACTACATGTTTAGTACATCAATTATCATTTTTATTTTGTTTGAGTACTCAACTATTATTTTTTCAAAATTATTCCTATTGTTATATTTTGGTTTCATTTTGGTCACCCATTGTTAAAAAAATTAATAGAACTGCTAACATGACACTTAAAAAATGATAACATCACATTATCTTATGATGACACGTCAACATAACTTTTAATTTTTTTAACGGTGGGTGACTAAAATGAAACAAAAATTTAATGTTAGGTATGATTTTTGAAATAAAAAATAGTGGATGACCAAAATGAAAAAAATTATAGTTAGGATATTAAACGTGTGGTTTACCCTATTTTTTGTTTAATAATAATATAATTCTTTATAAATTTTAATATGGGATAAATTAAAACTTGCTCTCTTAAATTTTAAATTCAAATATTTTATCTTTAAAAATTAATAATTTTTTTTCTGATATTTAATTCTGAATGTGCATGTGATCAGCTTGTTGTATAATTCACATAGAGACCTTTGCTGGCTGTTGTGACCTTTTGAAAATCGTCCTGCTTATTTCAATAAATTAAAGAAGCTTAGCAAACACTGATACTAAGCTTCAAAAATTAAAATTTTATTTTTATTTAAAAAGAGTATCGCTATTTTATTAGTCATCACGATAATAAATATGAGATTATTATTTTTATTAACATGAAATAAATACAACGTAATATATATTTAAAGATAATTCTTAATTATTTGATGTTGAATACTCACACTCCTTATATTCCTTATACTTAAACTCGAAATCTTAAAGAATAAAAATAATTCTTTTATGACTCGCTCGATAATAAATATCCATCCAATAAAAGAAGATGAAAAAGAAAAAAAAAACTACTTTCCGAATTGTTAAAGTAGGTTGAAATCATTAGGTCAAGTTGCTTTCACTTGCATGCTTAAATTTCACATTCTCTAATTTCATTTTTTTATAATTATTAGTATTTAATTTATTAGCCTATTAATTTAGATTAGTTATTATTAGAGATAAATATGAATTATGTTGGGTTAGGTTTTGATTGATCTAAACTTGATCCGAGCATTTTTATTCTCTATCACTCGATTTAGATTTAGAGAGATTTTATTAAACTTGAAATTTGATTTAATTTTTTGGATGAAAACCCGTACACGATTAAATATAAATATATATAATATTCTATTTTTATTAAGTCAAATAAGGACCTAATTAAGTCAGATGGAGATGAAAATTTTTCATCATAAATTTAAATCTAGTCCAAACTCGAATTTCAATCTCATATACATTCCTAAAAACCGTAAAAACTTAATATAAGATAACACTCTTAATCTAATATATTTTATTCACAATATTAATAGCTTTTATTTTTATTTAAAGAATTAACATCTTTTATTATATCAGCCTATAATTATAAATTTTTATGGGTAAAGTATACAAATGGTCACATGATCGTATGATGTTGCTTTGTTGAGTCTTACGTCTATAAAAAAACTACAAAATGGTACTTTGACTATAGGATGTCGCTTTGTTGAGTCCCCGACTATTAGAAGTTACAAAATGGTCACCCAACTATTCATTATATTCCAAATTTATCATTTTCCGTTAAAAAATTGACTATAGTCTGAGCTAGATGTTAACCTTCTGTCTAAGATATGATAAAATATGAATCTAAAATCTCATCATATCTTAGACAATAGATTAACATTCAGTTCATACTGTCATTAATTTTTAACAGAAAAATGACGAGTTTGGAACATAATAAATAGTCAGTAACGATTTTGTAACTTTTAATATAGGAGAATCATTTTGTAACTTTTAATAGTCATATGGCTTAATAAAATAATATCATATAGTCAAAGGACCATTTGTGTACTTTACCCAATTTTTATTATTGGTATGTGAATTTCTTCATTTAGTAAACTCTGCCGAATTAATCATTCAAGTGGGTCCAAACTAAAAAGAATGTGAATTTCACAATCCCTTCGTCAAAACTCCACATGAAAATTGCCACTGATTTCCAACTCAAATTCCCATTTTGACCAAACCCTCACCACTATAAATTGCAAGGGAACTCCACCATACTTTGCATCAAACATCACAAGTCCATACACACACAAAGCTCACCTACACTCAAACACAAACCAGAAGAGAAGAATGAAGACACCATACACGGCAGTGTTGGCGGCAGCGGCAGTGGTGGTGCTCCTACTGCTGACCGAAGCGGAGCTGTCGACGGCGGTGACATGCAACCCGACGCAGCTGAGCCCTTGCGTGGGTGCCATAACATCATCATCTCCACCGTCCAAGCTGTGCTGCAGCAAGATCAAGGAACAGAAGCCTTGCCTCTGCCAATACCTTAGGAACCCCAACCTCAAGAAATTCGTCAACACGCCAAATGCCAGGAAAGTTGCCTCCACCTGCGGGACTCCCTTCCCAAAGTGCTGAAAAAAGCCTCTCGTTTTCACCATATGAATGTGAAGAGAGGTGGTTTTATTGTAGCTTCGTTGTGGGATTATCTTTGTTTTGATGTCCGTAGTAAGAGCACTTAGTTTATATAGCCTCTGTCATCGTCACATTTCACCACTTTGTTTACTGTTTCTGTGTGTGATCTATCTGAGATATTCTACCAGTTGTTGCAGACGTAATCTTGTTTAATGGAAATCAGTGTTGGATTATTACAACCATGCCCAACTTTTGATTTTGCCCCACCAATCCGATTCATTTCAGACAACTATGCATATAAAAACATAATCTTAAGTTGTTTAGTGCTTACAAGTCTTGCAAAGTTTTGTTCCATATTCGAATGAGAGACTCGAGAGTATTTAAAAAGGGACAACTTTATACCATGTTCTTATGACATGATCGACGGATCATGACCGGGTCACTACACTTTCTACGTTGCAATGGACCTTACACAAAAGCAGAGCCAAAAACCAGCATATACCATTTATGATGGATGGGGAAGGAGTAAAGGACATAAAGATTTCACCAAATGAACCAAAATTCCTTTGTTGAAACATGAAGAGTACAAAGAATAACTCGAACAATACATGACGACCGAGTGCTCGAATGGTCGGACACCATAATGGATGAAAATGAAGTAGAGCATTGGAGAAGGGACTCCAAAATTCATTTTCATGTGCAGAATGCGAAAAGTAATTACAAACGAAAAGAGTTTGTCTTATAAATTAAGAAGGTTTGAAATTTGATTCCACCCTGCCATCCAAGGCTTCTTATCAGCTGGTAATGCAAAATTGAGTTCAAACATCTCCTTTGACAAGTTGTCACTTTCACAAAACCCTACAAGCTTTGCCACTATCTGAGCACTCTCCTCTATGTGTTTGGGATCATGGGAATCTGTCCATAGCTTGTTTATGAACTGAAGCCTTCTCTGCTTTCCATCCAGTGGCACGTTCCATTTAATGTACAATGCGTCTCTCTCGTCGAAACTCAAACGTGTGGTCAACCTCTTTGCGAGAAATTCCCTTTCACGCTTCAGCGCCCTGATACTGTAAGAAAACAGACACAAAATCCAAGCAGAGTAAGCTATTTACACAATCGACTGGAAGCAACAAGAGATGTGCATGCTTCAATAAGAGAATGAATGAGAACCTTGATGATAATGATACTGTGGGCTCATCTCCTGTTACTGCTGGGCTTGCATTTCCAGGTTCTGCAAAATGCTGCTGCAGCCAATTTAAGCGCCTAAGCTCCACTTCCATGTATATTTGGTCGGCAGGATCCCCCTTGAATAACAGATAAACTGTGTCCTATGGATGATGGAGACAAAGCAGACATCCCATAACTCAATGATCTGCTGCCTTTGCTCCCTGAATGTTACATGCCATGCAACTTGGGGTTCCTCTGGTTCAATTGCACTCTCATCATCATCCACATTGTATCCGGCTGCTTCATTTGCTTCCAGCTCAAGCACCTAAAAGCGAGTCAAAAACTAAATAAACTCCCTGTAAATGGGGAAAATGGAAGTTAAATCGTACAGAAAGAGCAAAGTCAATTATTTTACCTGACAAACAAGAAGCTGCTTCTGGTATTGCAGTTTAGCAACACGCTCTTTCAATTCTGTTACATATGCTTGTATACTTCGTACATTCTCTTCAGCTGCGTTTTGAAACATCTTCTGCATTTTCTTCATGTTGACTGAACTTGAACGACTATATCCTGGTGTGCCTTCCCTTGATGAGACATCTCCACCCTCTTCACTTTTCACAGGTGTTCCTTTCTTGGACTCAGCGGTAGACTCTTTCGAAACAACGTCATCATCTTCTGGAGGCCTATTTTCTTCATTCTCAGGCTCCACAACTTGCTGAGTGGTTGATAGAGGTGAGCATGGAGACTTTAGAAAATTTTGTCGGTTTGCAACATGACTAGAAGCTAAAGGAAGCAGTTTCTTCTTTTAGACTGATTCTTAGTTTTGGGGGTTTCTTCACAGTTGGATTTTTGATTACTTGGAAGAGACATCACCAGTTTGTCTATCGACTTCTGAACATTCTCTAACTGTTCCTCGAGGTTAGCTATTGTGCTACCTTGTGAATGAAGTCTTGTAATCTCTTCCTTGAGGTTAGCACTAACACTTTTGTTAGGAGCTATAGCAGTTCCAACTTCAACCTCCTTAGGGATTGACCGGACAGATTGCATCTCCCTTATTTCTGCCTGTAGCTTGGCAATTGTCTCAGCTGCATCTTGATTGCCTAGTCTATGACAAGCCACTTCTTTCTGAAGTACTTCTAAAGCGCGATTTGCTTCCTCTCCTAGCTGCTCTTGGAGGTGTTCAAGTTTACGAATTTCATGAACAAGTGTGAATGGAGCAGTTGATGATTGTCTCATAGATTGCCTTAACAACATAGTTTTTCTTGTCTTATCATGACGGACTGGATCCTTCCTATCATGTTTTGGAGATAGCACATCAGAATATGAAAGGCACTTCTTCACAGATGGATTTGAAGACTCAAATGGATTAGAAATCTGAAAATAAACACATAAAGAAAATTGAACTTAGTCTAGCTATAAGAGAATGGAACACGTAAGAGATAGGAAGCAATAGTGAGGGAACCTGCTGATCTTCTTTAAATTTTTTACGTAACTCGTCCGCTTGGGACTGTGCCAGATCTCTTTGGCGCTTTAATTCTTCAATCTCCATTTCCATCTATAAAGCAAAAACAAGAAATGTGATTACTTATGCTTCAATATAAAGTACGAAACAAATCTACTCAAGATGAAGACGGTATCGAATAGCTTATTCGAAATGTCATTACTTCTTGTATTTTCAAGTCTTTCTCCCTTGAAGGATCAGGGGTGCGAAGCTCAGCTTCTAGTCTGGCTACTTCTTTCTGCAGATGTTTGACTAGTTGCTTATTTGAAACAACCTAACAAGGTTTCCAAAAAATGTCAGTTCAATTGGAAACCCCTGTCAATCTCGTAATGCAGGAATGAAAATAAGTACCATATTCACTTGTGCATTATTTGTCACTTCCTTTGCCCGGGTAGCGAAGAAGAGAGTATTACGAGATTGTTCAAAGTGACATAGAGCAGGACTCAAAGTACATATGATGGCAGTGCGTGCATTTCCACCTAGTGAGTGCTGCAATATTCGAGTAAGCTTTGAATCCCTGTATGGTATATGACCACTTCTTTTTCCAACACTGCAAAGAGATATCAGTCAGTGATGAACAAAATGATAATAGAACTAAAATAAAACTGGAAGTGTTGATGTAGCCGATACCAAATGCCAAATATGTATTGTTTTGAAGTTCATTTCATTATTTGTCTCCCAATTCATTATATTTGAAGATCAGAACTAGTATGCTAGAACAGACTCTGACCTGAGTTTTCTGATTACAGATGTCAGAGTCATCAAACTAAGGTTAATATGACAGCCTTCCCTGAGCCTTGCACCATCAGCATTTGTTTGTGAAGCTCTTTCACTTCCAGCTAGATCTACAAAGTTCTGCAAGTTTGGTCCCAACATATTGTCATCAGAATGGTAATTCATACATCGTTTTTGGTTATATTTGGATAAGACTTGGTGATGTTGCCTTGACCAGGAATCTAGCAACTAGTAAAGAAAATGTGGAGTGTACAGATCATAGAAGGGATAAGATCATTCTTACCAGGCTTGCAACAAATGATCTCACACAATCAGAGTTTTCACGCTGAGTACTCTCTATTGTCTACATTGTTAGGCAAACAAATCTATGGATTAGCTTCCGTTAGGAATTGAGTATACTAACAAAACCAACAGAAATTCTCATTCTTACCAGCCTTATTATTTGGTGTGACCTTGAGCTACAATCATTTAGGGCAGTTTCTCCAACTTGCCTTTGAGCTACAAATTCCATCAAAAAAATTAGACTCGCGTTTAAGAAAGGGAAAAAGTCTGCTAACTCAAAGAAATTGCTTCATTAATTACATTCACAAATGTTTATTAGATGCCTTAGATGCTGATCATTGCTGGCTGTTTCTTCCACCAACTTCTCAACCATGGTACCTTTCTGCAAGCCGAGATTAAACAGACAAAAATCTAGTTAATGACAGGAGGAGGATTGAAAGCATAGGTGTTTCAGTAAGAGCCATTACCTCTGGATCGTCTAGAAGCTTGAGATTGCGGCCAGATTCAGAATTTAACAGGTCCCTAACATTCTCATTATAAATTTCTAATCCCGAAATTTTAATGGTGAAATCTCTCTCTGGTGTCTGCAACAATTTCAAATATAGAACAAAACCATTAAGAAGAGCACCCAACTACTTGTATAAAATACAAATCGCAAATCAAATTATGAGCAACAAGAAAAAATAGTTAGGCTTCAATGGAAGCTGAGTCTCACATTCATTATATGCTGGTAGATGTCATTGACAGCCTTCTCTGTTATTCCTCTCATCGTGTATGTCTTCCCGCTGCTGGTTTGGCCATAAGCAAATATAGTAGCTGTGCCAGAAATTACACAATTTCAAGTATTCAATAAAGGGAACAAACAATTAATAATAAACAGGCATCAAAATAGTAATAGCTAGAAAGACACACAACGAAATACTACCATTTATGCCTCCCAAAGCAGACAAAGCAACATTCTTCACTCCTTCATACACCGTTTCATTTACGCATGAAGGTCCAAACACTTTATCTGAGCAAACAAATAAAAGAACCCCAAACATCAGATTTCCATGAAAGTTAAAACCAACTGTGTAAATATAGCATGCAGTTAAAAATTACCAAATGTGAAAGAAGATGGCTGAGAGGTGCGTTCTTGAGAAGGATGCTTAGAAACAATGTTATGATCATCTGCACATTCCCATGCTACTTGATCTTTGGCCAGTTGCTCCCTTTTACTTAAAGGCCTTAACCTTACAGTAACAATGATCTTCTCTTCCTTTGGTTTTGGGCCTCCAGGTGTGGTACTGGTGCCTTGTCTATCTTATTGCCTGGGGTTCCTGGAGTTCTAGCTGTCATCTTTTCCATTGTTCCTTTGTGTCTTTCAGATTTGAAAACCACCAAAAGTATTACAGTCAGAACCCTCTCCCAGAGAAACGGATCGAATCCAG